TTTATTTAATACACGAGTTTCACAATTTGAGTTGAATTACTGAAATAAATGAACTTTTCCACGACATTCTAATTTATTGAGATGCACCTGTATATATATATACACACACACACTAAATAAGACAAAAAACAAAATTACTAAAACATTAAGAAAAATTTAAATGAAAACATAAAATATAATAGTATCTCAATGATACTAAATTAAAACTCTCATAACTAAAACTAAAATCATAAAAATATGACTTAAATAAAAAAACTATATCATTAGCTGCGATAAAATAAAATGTAAAAAATAAACTTATTTTATTTCAGCTTTTTTCATTTACATTTAGTTTCATTTTTAAATGCTAAAATAACTAAAACTAAAATCTTTTTATAGACATATTTTAAAAAAGATGACAAAAATAATAAAATGACCACTACTCACAACTAAAATTATTATAAAAACACAAATGTAGAAAATAAAATACTAAAATAACACTGTTAAATGCACAGTTTATTTTGTAAAGTCGCTGTGTGAAGATATTCAGTGTTTATGATGAACTCATTTTATTTGGTAATTCTGGTCATTTAATGGCATTATTTCCATGAAGCTTTGGTTAAACTGTAAAAGTTAAAAACGAGTCCAGATGTACGACACATTTCTGCAGCGACTGTCAACATGACTGTGCAAACAGGATTCGAGCGGGTTCATGCAATTACGAGCAAACTGAAGAGAAAATAAATGAGTGTTTGATGTCAAGCAGCGATATCGCATTTCCTCTGAAAGGCAAATCTGATTTGAATTAAAAGCTGAATTCCTGTAAGTCTGATCATTTGTCAGCTTCAACCGCAAACTTACAGTTGCCAAAACGCAGAAATGTTGATTATCTAAACACGGGGTTTAAGAAGCCGGATGTTTGACTTCACAGGCCGCGTTTGATGTCGGGAAAGTCCAGATGAAGTTCTTACACTTGCTGAGCGTCATGGCGACCCAGACCGTTTCCCTCCACTGCTACAGTGACCCGGCGACGGTTACCATGGAGACGCCTCGGGCCCTGCGTTTCCGGGGTTGGAACGGTCAGGTGTTCGAGGAAAACTCGCCTCTGAGTCCACATGTGGTTCTGGACGACTGTGAGGTGAGCCGAATCTGGACTAAAGAGACGGTTCACCCAGAAATGAAAATTAGCTGGTGATTTACTCTCCCTCAGGCCAACCAAGATGTAGCTGACTTTTTTTCTTCAGTAGAACAGTAAAGATGATTTCTAGCTGAAACTGTGGTCCCTGGGGATTCACAAAATGCAGTGGCTACTATCAGTTTGAAAATCTAAAGAAATCACATCATGCAACACAAAATGAATCCCCGTGGCTCCTGATGATATATCGAGGTCTTATGAAGCGAAACAATCAGTCTGTGCAAGAACCTGATCATTATTTACATTATTACCTGTAATCCAGAGCCTCAGGCAAATGGTCCCGGAGTGATGAGTGAGGTTTACAACCGAATCGGTTCTTTTGAACCGGTTCTTTTTGGTGAAATAGTTGAATCAGTTCACCAAATCAAACTGAATCATCTGAAACAGTTTGTTGCTCAAGCAGCACAGATCTACAAGTTACTCAGTCAAAATGAGCCAAAATACCAGCGCATCTGATCCTGTGATGAATGAATCATTCACCAGTCACTGAACTGAGGAAACAGTTCGACTCGGACTGAATGAGCCGCTGATATGAGCATGAGTGAACCAAACTTAATAATTAATGTTATTAGGGTTTCTCATTGTTTATGTACAAAGGTGAGCTAGGCTAGTTTATTCTGTTTATATGCTTTAGACATGTAAAACATCCACGTTTCACATTATTATTGGGTGCTTTAATAATATAATCGCGCATACTTTACATCACTGCGTGATTACGTAAATGAACTAGTGAATTGAACCAGTTCATTGAAATGAACTGTTCGAAAGAATCAGATCAGAATCAGATTTCTCCGTTTGTCTGAGGGCTCTGGATTACAGGTAATAAAGTAAATAATGATCAGGTTCTTGCACAGACTGATCGTTTCTCTTCATAAGACCTCAATATATCATCAGGAGCCACGGGGATTCATTTTGTGTTGCCTGATATGCTTTTTTTGATTCTCAAAGTGACGGTATCCATTGACTTGCCTTTTATGAATCAGACGGTTTCAGCTGAAAAAGAGTCTTTTCTGTTCTGCTGAAGAAAAAAAGTCACCTACATCTTGGATGGCCTGAGGGTGAGTAAATTAACAGCTAATTTTCATTTTTGGGTGAACCGTCCCTTTAAGGACCAGGGTAAATGTGATTCAGGACTGGGTTTAGTGTGGTTAGTAGTTCTGGGCTGGTAAGGTTCAAATTCATCATTTTCTCATGTCGTTCCTGCTATGACTCTTCTGTGGGAGATAAACGATGTTCATGCTGCTGCCGAGCTCCAAAAAAGACAAAAAAACACCATAAAGAAAATAAGAATACTCAATATGACTTTATAGTTATTTATACGTCTTTAGAAGTCATATCATAGCTTTGTTTGAGAACTAGACCAGAAACCAGCTCACAAATCTCTTATTTGTGCATATTCAGACTTGCTGACGATATGGCCAAAAATATTATCACATTCGATATCAATTACAATATTTATTTCATACCATTAACGGGAAGGAAAAACATTCAACATGTTTGTTAGACCTCAAAAATGAATGTAAACATAATTTGTTTGTTTAAAAGTCAGCTACCTTTTAATTTAGGGCCCCATGAAATCTGTTTTATTTTTTCCCAAATTTGATGTTTTCAGTCTTTTTTTTTTTTAGGTTGTGTTTAATGATTTAAATTCATCATCAACAATGGTGTCTAATGAAATTAATTCATAAAACTTTAACAGTGTAATTGATCTTTTAAAATGTAATCAAATTGAAATATTATTATTAATTTATAATGAAAGCCGCTATCATTTGTAATAATCTGTTCTGGATATCGTTCATTTTAAAGGACTAGTGTCTAAAAAATACGTTTATAGTGTTTATAGCACTTGTTTTATTTACCGGTATATTAAATTTTTTCTGAATATACACTCAAAAAAATGTTAAGATTGATGTATTTGAATTGCATATAAAATTTCCATCCATTTGGATTATACAGTTTTACCATAAACAGCCTAATAAACTTAATGTTATTTATATTCATCAGTCATAAATAAATCAAACAAAGTCAGATTTGTGTTTTAAACACACAATAACCAAGTTTATATATTTATCATCAATAATTCCAATTTGTTTCAATCTTATACATTTGAACTACTTCAGTATTCCTTGTTTCACAGCCATCCATATTTTACTTTTAACTGAATACATGTAATTGTTTTCACAATTAACAGATATGCTGATTCTAATAAATGCACTTTGAAAATATAATTATTTAAATAAAATCAAATAGTTAAACATACACTATGTGAATTTTGAGTGCCGAAATCTGATTAATTTATGCATGACTGGCAAATATAAATCACATGAAGTTTATTAGTTTGTTTCTATTAAAACTGTGCAATTCTAATGCATTGAAATTTTACATATAATTCAAATGCATAAATCTTAAACCTAGACCTAATATTTTTAAGGGTGTAATTTAAAAACAGACTTTATCTGTGTTTTTTTTTTCTCTTAATAATGCAATTTTGCGACTCAGATATTTGCCTGTTTCTCCGAACAGATCCGTGACGGCAGCTGGCATCAGTCGCGATTCCTGTTTCAAACCCAGGACACTCAGCAGCTTCCCATCGTGGACATTCAAGGTGTCCATCCCTCGTGTCCAGCAGACCAGCGGCACGTGGAAGTGGGTCCTGTTTGCTTCCTGTGAAATCACTGAAGGACTTGAAACGGTCCTGATCCTCAGATCAGAGCAGCGGTGATCTGAGCGACTGCGACGGTCCTGGGACGTCTCTAAAACCCGCCTGAAGAACGAGCGCGTCTCCAGCCCGGGACATCGCTCCATCCGTGTGTTTTGAGAGACTGCTGTTGTGCTTTATCTCTTGTGGTTTCTGTTTTCTTCCATTCAAACATGCACAAAGTCTCGGGCAGAGTCCTTGTGAATTGTACGTTCGATCTCGAATAGATAAAGAGCCAGACAAGATTGATCTTGTTAGCAAACGATGAAAAGGCCGACCTGGACTCTCTAGATGGTGCTCTACCTCCTTCACGTACAGGTGCTCGTGTTCAGGTGCATCCGGCCCCAAACAAACTCTACGCAAGTACGCCAATGCAAACTCCATTTAGTGCATCATTGTGTTCTGCAATTTGTCTTCTACTATTAGTTTTTCTGTCAGGTCAAGGCTGAGCAACAGTTTGAACGCAGTCTTGCTGAGCAAGTTAATCAGTGGACGACGTTTATAACAACACTACACTCTAAAAAATGCTGGGTTGTTTCAACCCAACTTTGGGTCAAATATGGACTAACCCAACTTTTGGGTTAAAAGTTTTATGTAAAAATTTTACCCAATGGTTGGGTTAGTCCATATCTGACCCAAAGTTGGGTTGGGTTTCCATCCCAAGTGATTTTTGGCATATTACCTAAAAAATGTTGAATGGAAATGTCAAGAAGTGCATAAAAGCATAAAAAATTGTATTTTTGCATAAAACTCTGGATGGAAATGGCAAGAAACGCATAAAATCAAAAAAATAAAATAAAAAAATTCAGTATCGTATCAGAAAAGTGGGATGGAAATGCCAAGAATTGCATAAAATCCTACAATTGTGGATTATCACATAACAAACGCTGTATGGAAAGATCAAAAAGTGTATAAAATTGTAAAAACGGGGGTTTTCAAATAAAAAAAAATTAAAACGCTGGATGGAAACGCCAAAGAAGGGTGTAAAATTGTCAAAAAAATATTAAAATTTTGGAGTATCGCATAAAAAAACGCTGGATGGAAATGCCAAAAAATGCATATAATAAAAAAGGGGGGTTTTGCATAAAAAACACTGAATGGAAATGCCAAGAAACGCATAAAAGTTAAAAATAAAATCATCAAAGTTTTGGGGTGTCACATAAAAATTGCTGGATGGAAACGCCAAAAAGCGCATAAAAGTCTTAAAATTGTGCCATCACAAAAACCGCTGGATAGAAACACCAAGAAGTCAGAAAATCTTACAATTTTTGGGTATCATTTAAAAAAGGCTGAAATCTTTAAAAATTGGGCATCGCATAAACAACGCCAAGAAACCCATAAAACTCTAACATTTTGGGGTATCATAAAAATGCTGGATGGAAACTCCAAGAAGCGCATAAAATCTTAAAATATTAACAGCAAGATGTGCATAAAATCTTTAAACATGCATTAAAAGCATATCGAGGTGGCTACTTTTTTTGTTCTGTTTTTTGTTCATAAACTACAAACATTTTATTATTTTAGCAGCTACTGATCATTTGCGCCAGTTAAAGATCCTGTACAGCATTTTTTTCTCAAATGTTTTATGCGATATCTCAATTTTTTGCATCTTTTTAATGGAAACATCACAGACAGCCACAGACGGAGGCGTTTGAAGGATTTCTGTGGTTTATGGGTCAGTCGTTCGCATCTGTGTGCTTGCGTACAGTGTGTTTCTGGCCCTAAGGTGCTCGTTTGTGCTGGCTCTTTCTGTTGTACTTCTGCGTTTGGTCATTTCGATCACAACAACCCTAATTTATATGAACAGTGTGTTGATAAGTTATGTTACACATCGGCTTAATATACTTTATACGTTAAGGAGAACATTCACTCGTGACCCTTAAAGAGACGCCACGAGTATCTCACCTACGTGAAATCCAAGAACAAGGATAGCCTACTTGATGAGATTTTTTGTGACATTGTTATTTGAAACCATTTTAAAATGTTCCCAGGTGATAAAAATATGTGAATTTACAAAAAATCTTACGAGATATTTGTGACATCTCTGTGGTATGGAAGCCGTTTCTGCCAACGAATAGAAAAACAAAAAGTTTATAATCCATAATTCTGAGTTTATATCTTGCAGTTCTGATTAAAAAGTCGCAATTACTGCAATTCTGAGGCAGAAATGGGCTTTCATACGGTCAGTGTCGGTCGACTTCTCCGTGGTGCTGCTGTATTCAGCGTTAGTCATTTTTTATTTTCCCCTTATATGTATATTTGGACATTATATGTTTGTTTATTTATGTTATCTTTTTTATTTCTCCAAAAAATACTGTACTCCAATAAATTATGATATCGCTCAGAGATCTATCTGGTCGCTCACCATTTAGTTCGAAATCTTATTTATGTCAAATTTGTATTTGTATATAAACACAAATAGGGAGTTGTGTTCTGGCACCTGCGATTGGCCAGATTCAGATCACATGATCACACACAGGAAGTGTAACACCTGTTAACTTATGATTACAGTATCAAAACTGTCACTAAATGTGCCTACAGAAACAAAACAAAGACGGAAAATGTAAATATTTAATATTTTGACATTAAATAAAATGTATGATATAATCCCAATGTTCACATGCGTTATTTTTTTTATTTCTATGAATAAAAATGCCCTTTCTGTCATGGGGTCTGTCTACATATAACCTACACTGTATATACTTAGTTTCCTATTTTCCTTTAAAATAATAAAATAATAAAATATTCCATACACACACACACACACACACACACACACATATATATATATATATATATATATATACAATTTAAAATAACAACTTTCTATGTGAACATATTTTAAAATTAATTTTATTCCTTTGATGGAAATGGTGAATTTTTCAGCATCAGCAGTATCAGACAGACAGACAGACAGACAGATTGATAGATAGATAGATAGGTAGATAGACAGACAGACAGACAGACAGACAGACAGAAAGATAGATAGATAGATAGGTAGGTAGGTAGATAGATAGACACACTCACACACACTCTCACTCACACGCACACTCACACACGCTCTCACTCACACACACTGTCTCTCACTCACGCACTCACACTCACACACACACACACACACACACACACACACACACAAAAATATAAAAACACAGCACAATTATATTAGTGATCCTTAAGAAAATACATATTTTATATTTAATCAGAGGGGGGTGTACTCATTTATGCTGTGCACTGTATATAAAATACTGTTCAAAGATTTATCAGTATGATGTTTAATATAAAAATATTTTAATATAGTATTAATTTAATATCATGACTAGATATTATGATATCTAGTTCTATTTCAATAGATATTTTAATAAATATATGTTTTATAATATAATTTATTATTATAAATATAATATTATTACTAATATCATGCCAAAAACATATTTTTCACGTCTTATTTTTATTATCTGTGTGTTGTTGTTGTCTCTGTGTACTGGAAGCTTGTGACATCTTGTATGTGCAAACATACTTGGCCATAAAGCTCTTTCTGACTTCTGTATCACTGTAATCAGAGTTAGTACTGTGATCAAACCTCTGAGTTATAATAAGTTTTGACAAATTAACAACACCACAACGTTCTTCAAGCGTGTATTCTGTTTTGTTTGTTTATCGTTTGGTCTGCTGTAGTTTGGCCTGCGTCAAGCAGCACAAGATGGTGTCGGGATGCTGTGGTGTTCGGGACAAGACGGCGTTTGTGCCTCTCGCGGAGTTTAATGAAATCAACCTGCTCAACGGTGAGTATCTGCAGCCCTCTGTACAGGAGCAGGTGAATGAGTGTGATCGCTGAGGTGTGCTGTGGTGTAGATTACAGGATTCTGGAGGACACGGCTCGACTGACACAGCAGTCCAACAGAGACAGGGTCCTGCTCCGCAGCCGCCGGCACCCGAAGGAGGTGAGAGCTGTGGATATCTACTCAATGTGTGGCACCTCAGGGGAAAACAGCAAGGGTTAAACCGCTCTCTTTCTGTCTATTTAAGGGCATGTGGATGATCAGAAAAGCCAGAGCTGTCAAAGTCACCCTGAGGTTTCTGCCCAAAGTGTTCAGCAAACATCGGGAGAACCGCACCATCTTCAGAAGAGCGTAAGTCTATGGGTTTATGAATATTTGTCTTTCGGTTTCATCGATTCGACAGGAAAGAGTCCCGATATCTGCACCACATTAAACTGGGGTCGAATTCAAGAAAATCGTGCATTTTTTTTCAAGATAAATTCATAAAAATAGTGCAATTCTTGACCAATTCTTAAGTTCTCAAATATTCTCTTTTAACTCTTTCCCCGCCAGCGTTTTTGATCATTTTCACTAAAATTTCATGGCCCCCTGAATATTTAGTTTTATGAAAATATCTGAACATGCGACAGAGCCTCTACTTTTAAACAAAACAAAAAAATCTGTTTCATTCTAGCTTCAAGCATTCTTTTTTCTCAACACTTGAATGAAGGTGAGTTATATAAAAAAAGCAACATTTTGATCAAAAAGCTGAGAAAAGACTAAATCTGGATCATATTCAGTTTGATGATCAAAGCAAAGCCTTTAGCACTTCCTGGATCGCCATTTCACTCAGTAACATTAGGCAGTTTTCATTTATATGCGGTTTATTGTTGATGATCGCATTATTTTTCATATGCATCTACTTGCATATGAGATCGCTCAGTTCTGCGTCTTCCTTGCCTGTGTTTTTGATCAAGTGATTCTGGACTCATTCAGGAGTGAAAACATGGAAACACACAAGGAAAGCGTTAAGAACATCTTTTTTTTTTCTTAAGTAGATAAGAAAAATGTTAATATAATTTTAATAATAATAGTAATAATAATAATAACAATAATACAAATAATATTTTAATATTAATTAACATTGATTTAATATATACATATATATCATTATCTACTATTTAATATCTGATTATTAAAGTTCAGTGTGTATGTCGTATTTTTTCTCTTAAGAACATATTTTTTCTTAAGAAAATTACAATAATTTAAAATGAAAATTGTATAATAATAATAATAATTTGGGTTAAAAATAATGTAAAATCTATTTAATGTCTATATATTATTTTTTTATATTATAACATTTAATATTAATGTAACAACATAAAATTAATACTATAACTATTATTTAATATCTAATTTTCAAAGTTCAGTGTGTGCGTCATCATGTAGCGTTTTATATATAGGTATGCAATATTTAATAATGTTAATTAAGAAGAAAATGACTGTTGATATCTGATTGTATGGATATTTTTAAGAAATGTTTTTGGGAATACAAAATATTTAAAGTTAGAAAATAAGAGTACTTTTATTTTATTTTTGTACTTATTTTTATTTTATTTATTAATTAATATTTTATATTTTTATTCAAGAATAAAGAGTTGTATTCTTTGTGTGAGTGTTTCGTGAATCCGGCCCCGGTGCATTTATGCTAAAAACATGCTGTTTTCATCCCAGTTGTCTGTAGTTCTGCATTGAGCCACATGGTGGCGCTCTTGGTAAGTGCAGTCAGTACAGTGATGTTGAGGGTTTGTGCTTTGGTCTGGTGGACCTACCCTGACGGTTTCTGCTGCTGCTCAATGGGATGCTGTTATTTAATTTGTGTTTTCAGTGTGACGGCAGAGAGCTGGCAGAACAGTCTGTCAGACTGCGGGATCCTGGACCGTTCATAATTGCTCTCTGTTCTCGTTTAATAAGCGTAATTAATGTCATAGAAGAGGAGAAGGTGGTTAACAGAACATGCCTCCCTTCATGACATCACCGCATTCCCTATACAGTATGGAGGCAGAGTGGGCGCTGGTGATTGGCTGGCGGGGTTGCTGGGGTGCTTGTGATTGGCTGTAGTGAGCGAGGGTGGTTGGCTGATTGCTTGTGATTGGTCGAGTGAGTTCCAGGAGCACAGTGATTGGCTGAAATGGTTGCCAGGCTGCTTGTGAGTGGCTGTAGTCAGCATATCAACTAATTAAGAATGTCAAAAGTATTAGAATGTTGATAAAACATATTCATTTGTGGGCAAATTAGAAGTGGTCTGTTGATTTATCAGTATTGTCAATGCCAGCTGTATTTATTGGCATTATATTTAACAATATTTATAAGCTGTGTGAATAATGATGGTGATTCCTTGAGTTTGAAGCATTAAAATGGAATTTGACCATGAACTGCTGCTGCAAGAAATTTGGTTTAGTTTAATTATTTGTTGTTTGCTTGCTTTATTACTGCTCTTGATCAGTTAAATTATTAACAACAAATAATCAGTGATTAATGAATCATTAACAACCCTAGTACAAACTGCCTGTATTATAATCATTAGTAACTTTTAGCCTTTCACTTGTATTGAAGAATAATCAGAGAAACGTTAATCCAGCTGGAAAAACCTTCTGTTTCCACATGTCAGGGTCATGATGTACGAATCATGCAGAAATTATGAATCACTATATCGTTGACTTCATATTTCTGATGCCATGTCCCATTTTTATAATTATTTAATGTAGCTGTTTTGGGACAAGTGACAAGCTTTCAGACTTTTTTTGATCTGGCAATCTGATTGGCTGTCAGCTTCCTGGAGTGAAGTACCATTTTTTTAATCGATCCATGTGGAAACGAAGTTGTTGTACTGGGTTAATAAAGCAAGAACTATTGAGCAAGAACTAAGAACAGTGTTTGGCATTTAAACGGCATCAAGTGTTTTATTTGAGGCAGTTATTTCTCTGAGCTTTTGGGTTTTCTGTACTTTGCGTCTTTATTTAAAGTCCAAACGTAATGGAAGAAGCGACAGATCTGTTCTTCCATACTGTCACGTAATTTTATCAAAAAATGAAAAAGGGCGGGGTCTTGGTTCCATCCATTGGATGGAGGCAAATCTGAACACGAGCTTGCAGTCGATTATACGAAAGGGACGGGGTTTAAGCAGACAAAATTATTGGAGAAACACGAAATTATCATAGAGAAGTCTTATCGACAGATCTGTTCTTCCATATTGTGACAATTCTATCAAAAAATACAAAAGCGTGGGGTCCTGGTTCCATCCATCGGTTGCTAATTGGATGGATGCAGATCTGAATCCGAGCTTGCAGTTAATTATACGAAAGGGGCGGGGTTTAGGCAAATTAAATGATTGGAGAAGTCCGGGATGTCATCATAGAGAAGCTTTATCATTTCACTGAAAGATCAAGTTTTGATATTCATGAAGGCGTAATATTTTAATAAAAAATTACAAGGTCAAATTTGTGAAAAAAAAGATATATAGGCCTATATATAAACGTATGCATGGATAAATCGTTCAAAATAAGAGCAATAAAGCGGATTTAGAATATAGATAGGGATAATTTAGCATTTTGTCAACCTAAACACTGCACACCACGAACTGTGATTGGTTACGTTACATGTTAATCAGATGTTCTCTTCTTTGTAGGCTTTTTTGACCAAAATAAGCAGCAGTGTGCACCAGAACTGTTTTAATTGAGTGAAAACGTATGTCGAGCCCTATAGCAGATGTACAATATGTGATGATCTGTATTTCGGCGAATTAGATGACATTAAACTGAATCTCCTTAATGCACTGGTATGACCGGCAGAAGCAGGACAAATGCAGGAGAGAAATCAGTTTCAGAATGTACCAAGTACACAATATCAGAAGCAGATGTTGAGTAACTGCACATGGTTAGCGACACACTGCGCTTGGGCCAGATACTCGCGGCTCGCCAGGGTCGCATTATTTTACACAACCTGATTAATATTCATGAATCCAGTAGCTCATTAATCCTTAGTGGGTTTTATATTGTTCTTATTAGTAGAATTCGTATCATTATTATCTTATCAGTATTTTTGTTAGTTTTTCCCCAATTTTTTATTTTTTTAAATAAACCAAAAAAGCACCACCACCAGTCCGAAGTTCAGTTAAAATGACTAATATGCATTCATACATGGTTATCAAGTTTTAATTCTAATTACTAAAGTTCTATCATTAAATAATATTGATTATCATATTATAATGCTTGACTGACTGATGTTAAGAGTGTACTTTCAGATATTTATAAAACTGTTATATATATATAAACTAATATTTTGCAATAAACTTATATAGTTGAACAATATTTTATAAAATAAAATATTTAATACATACTATTTTATATTATCTTAACATAAAATGTTGTTGTGAAATATTATCTCTCCTACTCTCTATAAAATATTTTGCAATAAACTTAAAATATATTATTTTTGTACTCATAACCAACATAGTTTTTTATTTTCCCATTCATTTTATTTCAGTTACATCATATGCAATGCCCTTATTGTAGGGGTGTGCGATATATATCGTCTGCGATAATATCGTAATTGTTGTTTTAACGATGTACGATTTGACATTATCGAGTATTTTGCAAAAACCATTCAAAACATCCCTACAGAGCGCACGCATACATTACGTGAAGTCTAGACTAGTGCGTGTGCGCATTTAGTGTGTTTTCTTTCACTGCATGATTCAGTCTATTAAAATGCATTTAGAATGATCACAAATTCAAGACATGGCAGAAAATTTATATATTTATACCACTTCATATAGTTATTCTATTTTACACGAAGAGTGCCATTTTTCTCCAAAAATTACCATGATTACAAATGTGACATTGAATTCAATAAACAATAAGTTAATTAAGAGACTTACGTTTTAGACACCATATTGCTTGTTTTTGCTCTATTTCGCCAACAAAAATCATTCCGAATACAGCCACAGCGCTGTTTTGTGTCTCTGAGCAACATGACGGTGTTTCATTCCTGAATGAATCAACCGTTTAAATGATTCGGTTCAATCGCAATGACTCACTTATTAACAGTGATTTGCTGCCACCTGCTGGCGGTTTTAATTTCAAATTTCGGCTTTTTCATTCTTTTTTTTTTTTCGTTTTTTCATGTTTTAAATTATTTCAGATATCAGTATTCAACGTTTTATGTTTAATATATCAAAACATTATTTATGCATTTGTAATTGCAGGTTAAATGCATTCATGTCTTGCATTAAACAAAATACATGTGTGTAAATACATCTAAATGCCACTTCAGATGCAGCTTCTGTGTTGATTTAATTTGCTTGGTAACAGCCCAAATGTCTTATTATTCTAATTCCCTGATTAAATGTAAGAATTTGACTCAAAAGATAATGGACACTTTTAGAAAAAATGGCTTTATAAAGGTAAAAATGCCCATAAAATGCAAAAATCAGTTTAAACTTATCGGAAAAGATTAATTTCTATCAGTATGAACTGACCACCACACAGAATATGAAGAACGTTAAAAACATTAGGAGTCAGCTGGGGCGTTTAATTCCCGCCCACATGTAGAAATCGAATATTCAAGCTGTTTATTCATTTTTCCACCCATGAACGAAAAATGAAAACTTAAGCTGAATTCTCGTTTTTCGTTTTTTTTGGAAAAAAAAGAAAAAACGAAAAAGGAGCCGTTTTCTCATTTTTCTACTTTCAATATTAAATAAAAAAACGAATGATCGAATGATACACGGATTCTCACCTATTATCGTCCCTGTTTTGATTTCAGCAAATCAGTTCGAGCGGACGCACACAACCTGATTAATATTCATGAATCCAGTAGCTCATTAATCCTTAGTGCGTTTTAAATTTAAATCCTTATTAGTATAATTCGTATCATTATTATCTTATCAGTATTTTTGTTAGTTTTTCCCCAATTTTTTATTTTTTTAAATAAACCAAAAAAGCACCACCACCAGTCCGAAGTTCAGTTAAAATGACTAATATGCATTCATACATGGTTATCAAGTTTTAATTCTAATTACTAAAGTTCTATCATTAAATAATATTGATTATCATATTATAATGCTTGACTGACTGATGTTAAGAGTGTACTTTCAGATATTTATAAAACTGTGCCATTTTACAAACAAGCATATGTATATATATATATATATATATATATATATATTTATTTATCAGTCTGGCGAGTAAACAAAAAAATTTACTAGCCAATGGCGATTCAATTGCCGAGGTGCTCAATGACCAAAAAAGCCAGTCCAGTTAAAATGTTCAGTTAAAATGACTAATATGCATTCAAACATGGTTATCAAGTTTTAATTCTAATTACTAAAGTTCTATCATTAAATAATATTGATTATCATATTATAATGCTTGACTGACTGATGTTAAGAGTGTACTTTCAGATATTTATAAAACTGTGCCATTTTACAAACAAGCATATGTATATATATATATATATATATATATATATATTTATTTATCAGTCTGGCGTGTAAACTAAAAAATGTACTAGCCAATGGCGATTCAATTGCCAAGGTGTTCGTAGAGGGCTGTTGGTGGTGTCCAGGGCGTTGCTATGCAGTTGCTAAGGTGGTCTGATTGATTGATTGATTGATTGATTGCTGCGTGGTTGTTGGGGTGTTCTTGGTCATTGCTTGGATGTTACTAAACAATTGCTAGGTTGTTGTTTTCGACTTTCCAGGGTGTTGCTATGCAGTTGCTAAGGTGGTCTGATTGATTGATTGTTGCTATGTGGTTGCTTGGATGTTATTACGGCTGCAGTCTGTAAGATTTGCCTCACTTTTAAATAGTTTTTAGTTGTAGGTGGTTTCTAGGGCATTACTGTGCAGTTGCAAAGATGTTCTTTGATTGTTGACGTGTTGCTGTGTGGTTGCTAGTGTGTTCTAAGTGGTTGCTTGAATGATACTAAGCAGTTCCCAGTTGGTGGTGGTTTCCAGGGCATTACTATTCAGTCGCTAAGGTGTTGACTGATTGTTAATGTGTTGCTGTGTGGGTACTAAGGTGTTCTAGGTGGTTGATTGGATGTTACTAAGTAGTTCCCAGTTGTTGGTGGTCTCCAGGGTGTTACTATGCAGTTGCTAAAGTTTTGATTGATTGTTGACATGTTGTTGTGTGGTTGCTAGGATGTTACTAAGCAGTTGCTAGTTTGTGGTTGCTGGTTTCCAGGGTGTTACGATGCAGTTGCTAAGGTGTTCTGATTGTTTGCTAACATGTTGCTATGTGGTTGCTAGGGTGAATGTTTGTTTTAAAGCACATTTCTGAAGATTCAGCTAAGAGGAATATAAAAAATAAAAACATGCCACTCTTTTTCAAAAAAGGTTTTTAATGCGTTTTAATACATTTAAAGCGTTAACCTGCTTGATTTCTCAAACATAGACTGCATAGATTTTTTTTTTTTTTTTTGCCCCATTGACGGATATTTGCTCTAATTTAAATCGTAAACTCATTTCATTTTCATCAGTTTCTCAAAAAAACAAGACTTTTTTTGGATCCTAAGTAAAAGTATCTTGATTTAAGAATGTTTAGTCTTTTCTACTGGAAAGCAAGCCAAAAATGCTGAGGAGGAACATCCCTTTTGCAGTGCATCAGTTTGCTTTTTCCATTAGGCCAGAAAAATTGTTTCCATTGGTGGTTGGAGGCGTAACAATACCTTCGCACCTGGTATTCCAGCCCTTCTCCGCCACGCCTCCACCGTGAGCTCCAGTGGCCCGCCAAGCCTGTGCAAACCCATAAATTCCTTTGCCTTGAGGGAATGTCTTTACACCTGTGAAAGGAAACCCTCCTCCACCACTGCTGCCCACCTCAGGCTGGAAATTCAGTCCAAACTCTGCTGCCAGAACCTCATATCTGAGCTCGCGTCTGAAGAATGCATTTCGGAGGAGCTGATAAAATGTTCTGGTTGTGTAACAGTGCCATCTGGTTTGGTATGTACGCTCAAGTCCTGGCGGCGACTCTTTCTGGGATTGGCACGCGGGGTTGGATGGGTTTAGATGAGTTGGCGGATGAAGGGCATGTCAGTGATTCTTCTCGTCTTACTCATGTGATTCGTGACATATGTAGCAAATAAGTCAGCGTTGAGTGTTTTATTCCACCTTTGCACTATTTTGACTCATGCAAAAGTAAACAGGAGATCGTTTGTCACGTTGAGAGCATATTAAATGAACAGTCATGGTGTTAAAATCTTTTGGATGAGACGCGATTCAGTGCAACAGTCGGGTTCCTCGAGTAAAATCCTTTTCCCCTTTTTTAAAAAAATTTATATATAATATATATTTACTATATATTTATACCACTTCATATAGTTATTCTATTTTACACGAAGAGTGCCATTTTTCTCCAAAAATTACCATGATTACAAATGTGACATTGAATTCAATAAACAATAAGTTAATTAAGAGACTTACGTTTTAGACACCATATTGCTTGTTTTTGCTCTATTTCGCCAACAAAAATCATTCCGAATACAGCCACAGCGCTGTTTTGTGTCTCTGAGCAACATGACGGTGTTTCGTTCCTGAATGAATCAAGCATTTAAATGATTCGGTTCAATCGCAATGACTCACTTATTAACAGTGATTTGCTGCCACCTGCTGGCGGTTTTAATTTCAAATTTCGGCTTTTTCATTCTTTTTTTTTTTTCGTTTTTTCATGTTTTAAATTATTTCAGATATCAGTATTCAACGTTTTATGTTTAATATATCAAAACATTATTTATGCATTTGTAATCGCAGGTTAAATGCATTCATGTCTTGCATTAAACAAAATACATGTGTGTAAATACATCTAAATGCCACTTCAGATGCAGCTTCTGTGTTGATTTAATTTGCTTGGTAACAGCCCAAATGTCTTATTATTCTAGTTCCCTGATTAAATGTAAGACTTTGACTCAAAAGATAATGGACACTTTTAGAAAAAATGGCTTTATAAAGGTAAAAATGCCCATAAAATGCAAAAATCAGTTTAAACTTATTGGAAAAGATTAATTTCTATCAGTATGAACTGACCACCACACAGAATATGAAGAATATTAAAAACATTAGGAGTCAGCTGTCCACGGCAGTCCTTAAGATACCAGCACAATAACACACTCAGCAAAATATCGTCTAATTATCGTTATCGATAAAATCCCAGAAAATATCGAGATATAATTTTTTGTCAATATCGCACACCCCTACCTTATTGTGTATTTTTCTTCAGATCAAAGCTTCTAATATTGTGATTAATCGTAGAGCCGGTTGTTTCGGTTCATGTCTTAAAACTCTTTAATGTACGATTTATTTTTTAACATTAGAAATTTAAATAGAGTAAAAACTAGCTAACTGTGAACACAATCATTTGAATTCCGCTAGTCTGACAAGTTGCATTGAATATTGATCGATCGTTGGGTTTACGTTGGTTTGCAGCCATTAAAGAACCAATGATTACTGAGCGTTCATACCGAATGTGACTGTTTAATTGTCCCATTTGTAGTTTCTGCTTCGCATCATTGAGCCAAGCTTGACTCAATCGACCGCTGTTGCGTTTTTCACTAAGAGTATAAAACTCTTAGCAGCAGCTGTGGGAGCGGTCAGTGCTATTTCATGTTCTTTGGATCTCGTTTTTATTGTCTGTGCTCCAGATCCGCGGCTCAGCTCAAGGCTTTCGGCCAGCTGAATTATCGTCATCATCATAACCACGATGCCCAGCATTGATTCGCTCCCTCCAAACGCACACCTTCTCGATTACATTAGCAACACTGGCCCACTGACGCACCAACATGTTGTTCCAGTAAATACCGAGGTCTGATGCCAGACAGGCCTGCGCTTCTGTCCACCAAACCTGAGAGCCAGTTTACTGCCGTTCATTCTGAGTTTCTTTACTGGAAAAACACATTTGCTGTTGGCCTTCAGTCTGAGCTTCTAGCAACATAACGGCGTCTTTCTGTTAGAACATCTTGACCTGAGTTCAGTGCATCTCATCAAGCTGATGGTCAAATTATTGCTCTGATGTGAGTCAGTAAGTCCGAAGCTGGACGTATGTGGTCTGGAACCGGTTTTAACTCAGTTTTCTGGCTTTGTTCCTGCAGGGAAGGACGGTTCTACTGGCATCTGAAGATCCATTTTCCTCAGAGCGACGCGGTTTATTCAGAGAGGTATAAAAACCCTTCTCGTTTCACATTTAGTAGGGCCATATTATAGAATTATAAGAATGAAATAAATCTAGTTAAACCATTAAATCAGAATCCAGAAAAATTAAAACAGAAAACATAGAATTTGGGGGGGGGGAATCAAATGGGTTTCATAAGGCCATAAAATATCATTTTTGATAATATAATGATATATAAGATAATATAATTAATATATTTTGATTAATTAGTTTTATTTAAATTTTTGTATTGATCAGTTAATTTATTGGTAAAATTGAATGTAACCATTAAAACTGAATCCAGAAAATCAAAATGGAAAACACAGAATTTGAGAAAAAATGAAACAGGATTTTGGGAAAAAAATTGTATGGATTTCTTTTGGCCCCCAAAAAGATTTTTTTGTTAAACTTTTATTTAATAAATAAATTAATTAACTGGACATGGTTTTTGATTGTTAAAATTTAATTAAACCATTCAAATGGAATCCAGAATAGTCAAAATTTAAAAAATGTAATTTTGGAAAAAAATAAAAAAGTAAAATAAATAAAATGGATTTCATATGGTCCTAAAAATGTATTTAAAAAAACTTTTAATTAATACATTTAAATTCATTAGATAAGCTTTTTAATTGTTAAAAATTTTAATAATTAAAGTTTTGTGAATTCAATTGATTAGACATGTATTTTAATTATTAAAATGTATTAAACTATTAAAACTGAATCCATCAAAATTAAAATGGGAAATAAACAATTTAATTTGTGGAAAAAATCAAACCGTTTCCAATTTGGGCCAAAAAAAAAAAAAAGTACAATTTTTAATTCATTTTTCAATTAATTATTTTAATAATCAATCAATTTATTAGTAACATTTTAACATTTAATTTAACCATTAAGATGGAATCCAGAAACATTAAAATGGAAAAAAAAACAAACAAACTGTGATTTGAGAAAAAATATTAATTGTTAACTTAAATTAATTAATGAATAAACAATTAATGTGATGACAAACCAGTAGTCATGAGAAGCATAAAAGCAAACGTTAATAAAAAAAATTGAAGTAATCACTCTCTCGACCAGTGTAATGACTTTTATATCATTCCAAATCCATTAAACTAGATACTTTGAAGAACATTTCAGACTAACCATGTCTGTCAAGAGCCAAAACCACTATTTCAAGCCCTTAATCAACCATTATATGTTAGATAAATGGCAAGCAGAAAGGGAAGAATGTCAAAATGACAAATGATTTTAAATCAGTCCTGGGGTGGGAGAAATATGCGTCTGGCCTCTTAAAACCAGACATGACTTGTTGTGTATTAGACTGACTCATTGGCATTTATTGACCAAAATTTCAATATTGTAGCACTAACTTGATGGTAAAACATGTCGGTTTGCCCAGTTCTTATCATTAGACAATGATTTTTACCAGAAAAACCTACAGGATGGATTGTTTTGTGAGCTAGAGCCAGAAAAACTGTTTTATAATCACAAGTATCTTATAATCCAAGAATCATTTATAGAGTTTGTTTTGTTTAGTCTTTTTTTCTGAATTGTGTAAAATGTTCGTAATCATTCTATTGTCTGTTGAAAGTTGAATCTGTGTCTGCCACGTAATAGCCTGTGAAGCTGATATAGCAATAAACTTGAATACAACCATTAACCAACCAAAAAACACCATAAGTGTTTTGAAATGTTGAATGGGCAAGAGTTGCATGATGTTTCTCCAAAAAAATGAGGGTGAGGTTTTTATTATTCGATTGTCCCTTTCCTCAGGTGTCCTGATAACCGGCAGCTCAATCAGATTCTCAACGACTACATTCATCCTTCAGAATCAGATCCAGTCAAACGGCAGAAGTATGTATCGCTCACTCAAACATCCACACGTTTCGTCAATGCCACATTTATCCCACTTTTGCATTAACTTGCATTGATATCAAGCTTCCGCAGGTTTTCATGGTTGCGGTTGCCAGATTTCAAGAGTTTAAATCTCCCAACCAGAGCTTTTCTTTTAAACATATGCATTTTATGCCTGATCTTTTACTTGATTTTCCCAAACTGGTGGCCATGAGCACACTTTGCTACAAAAAAACACCAACGAACTTATATGCTGGAATTAAGCGATCTCCATTGAGAGATTCTGCTCAAATGAAATTTCACTGTTTCAGCTTTTCAGAGAAGCTTTTTACAGATTTGAATAGTTTTTTGTTATGTAAAGAGTGCTAATGCATACGATAAATATAATAAATCAGAAAACTACAAGAAGTTAAATAAACTCTGTGTATTAGTTGCTGTTCCATTGATTTGTGCTTATTTGTGTGCAGTAATTCTAATGAAATGTGAAAAGAAATGAGACCAGTCGTGATTAATGGTGGCAATTGTAATTCATTAGCAAAATAATCATATTTAAGTGTTATCGTGCAACCCTACAAGTTTATATAGGTCAAAGTAAAGTAAATCCTCTAAATTACAGTTTTGAGTGTGTACGGACAGAGCTGCGATGATTGACACCGTTGTAACCATTTTATTTATTTTTTTGTCGTTTTGCCATCTCACGTTTGGTATCCGATATTTTTGACCAAAGTATAATTACAGAGACCAAAGACTCGTTATGTTCGGCAATTTTAACTAAACCATTGTCGACAGAGCCATTGTGTTTTGTTAATGTTTGGAAGGATGCTTCGCAGAGCGCGCTCTTGAAGGGTTGCCATGTCCACTTTTTATAAGCGACACTTATTAATATGGATACAACCAATAATCACTATCGGCAGACAAAAGCAATTATTTACACTATCGACCATTGGCGGATTGTTTAATAACAGCCGATGATCAGAGCTGATACTATACTGTCAATCTAAAGGGGGCGTAAAATCTTGTAAAACAGCAACTTGCGTGAAGAAAATGTTTCTTGTGTCAAATTTAAAGCTGTCTGAGGTAAAGCAATAATAACGCATTAACGCAGCGCCGTTGATACGGGTTTTATTTGACTCTATGAGTCACCCGTATTTCAAGCCAAGGTTGCCAGATCCTAGGTTTTCCCTTCAACAAAACATCATTTGTAGCACACCTCCAATACAATTATCGCAAAGCGTTTGTGCTCTGTTACTTCTGATAAGAAACAAAGTCTCAGCTTTCTAATCATGTACATTTTATCACAAAATTCAAACAATAAATGCCGTTTTGATGCTCTTAAATGTGGCGCGACAGATCGCTGTAGCAGCTTCAGTTCAAGGGCGAGTCCCTTCCACTTTAATACAAGTTATAGCACAGAATAAACATGAATGAACATCAGAAGGTTTTGAAAGATAAATTAAAACTTACTGACATGTATCAAGTCTCGTGTAATCGCTCAATCAGTGTTTCAACCGAAAGAAAGACATCAAATAAAACCGCTTGTGAACAATGTCACGTAACATTGCATTCACCTCAGGAAAATTATCCAGTATTTGTTAGTTACCTATAAAAAACACTAGAGGGAGCTTATGTAATGTTAATTTGGCCTGTATATGTATATTTGAATAAATCTGTCATGAAGACGAGTTTTTATGAAAACTACCTTATGTGCAATTGACATTTTTATTTCTGTGTGATTATTATATCTGAAAATAAATAGCGTTGAATATAATAGTTTCGTTGTTCATTTTAACCTCCCTGTGTAGTTTACAGCATTAGTTGGCAGTGATTTTTTTTTTTCCTTAAAGCTAAACTATCGATATCGGCAGATATCATTCTGAATTATCGGCTATCGGATCAGCTGAGAAATTTCATATCGGTGCGTCCCAACTTATTAAACATCTTTGGGCTTGTTTTTTGGGTTTGTAAAGTGATCCGCTTTATGGAGCTAATAAGGTAGGCAGGTGTAGGTTGCGATATTTTGGATTTAAGTTTATTATGGGCTATGTTCTTATTTGCTGTTTTTTTAAAGTAAGATCTGGCAACCCTAATGAGTCAAAACGTACCTCGTTCACTGTGATTTCACAACAAATTAAACCATTTTTTATTTTCAGTGAAATCAATGTAATACATTTTTGTTCGATAATATTTTTTCTTTTGTATTTTGAGAGAATTTCATGGTACTGTTTAATATTTATGCAATAATTATGATCAATTTTTCCCATTGAAAATAATACAAAAATGTATTTTCTAATATTTTTCTATTACTTTTCAATTATGGCAGTATTTCACGTTAAAATAGAGACAATGCCTTTAAAATCCATTTTTTGAAGGCAGATTAGTGCCATCTGGTGGGAGTAAAAAAAGAAAAACATCTGAAATTCTGTGCTTTAGCCACTAGATTCCTATAGAGCTCTGTAGAAAAGACTTATAAATTCTCTAGTTGTTTTTAGACATAAATACTTTTTTTTTTTCTTTTTTTTTTTTTTGGTACTGTTTAATATTTATGCAATAATTATGATCAATTTTTCCCATTGAAAATAATACAAAAATGTATTTTCTAATATTTTTCTATTACTTTTCAATTATGGCAGTATTTCACGTTAAAATAGAGACAATGCCTTTAAAATCCATTTTTTGAAGGCAGATTAGTGCCATCTGGTGGGAGTAAAAAAAGAAAAACATCTGAAATTCTGTGCTTTAGCCACTAGATTCCTATAGAGCTCTGTAGAAAAGACTTATAAATTCTCTAGTTGTTTTTAGACATAAATACTTTTTTTTTTTCTTTTTTTTTTTTTGTAAGTTGTGGATTTGGATTTATATTTAGACATTAATTTTTTTTTTTTTTTACAACCATTTAGCTTTTTCGAATCAAAGCCACAATTTTTTTTTTTTGTGGTCACATAGCGACTGCCATAAAAGTCAGCGAGTTTCGTACCATTCCAATGAAGTAGCGATTTTTACAATTTCTAAACATTTATTTTTTCTGGTCTAAAATGACCGAACAACACCAGAGGGTTAAATACGTCATTAACAACTAGTTGTTGGTTCCATACATGCCACATAGAATTTTTCAGGAGTTAATTCCGTTTTAGAATGCGGCTGTCAATCTGTAAATGACTGAACTGTATGCGAATAGAACAGGATTGAACACTAATAGGTGAATTGACAACCATGAATTGTTCGTGGCCTTATCGTGGCGTTGAACCCGCCATCAAAACATGCTCAGACGTTTTCACATTTCTTGATCATCTGCTTCTCATTTCGGATGTTTAATGCAAAACTCGATGACTTTTTATGGCTGAAATGTGGCCTAAGTGCAGCATTGTCAGTCAGTGAGATTGTGTCTGGCCCTTTTTGTCAGTTTATTGATGTCAGGCTCACAGGGGAAAAACTGGGACAGATTCATTTTTTAACTTTTCCACAAAATGCAGTAATGACTTGACTATTAACTTGATGAAGTGGAGGATTTTCTGTTTATTGTTTCTTCGTGGAGCCGTTTTAGGGCCATTTGGATCAGCACATCGTTATGATGACTTGCAGATCAACAGAATCGAAGCTGCGGTTTGGAGTTAGAAATAAACTCTTTTCAGTGTGATAATAGGCCACAAAATCAACACTAGAATAGGTGTCTTTGCTCTTAAATCCAGGCATCTTTTGAAGGGAGCGTTTGATAGAAATGAATGTGAAAACCGACACTGACGTTCAGCAGCTGAAGAGTTTTACCTCAGAGATCAGTGCTGAGTCATATTATTCAATAACAGAAACTCATTAAGCATGAACAGACGAGTCGATTAAAGTGTTGGAAATATTAACTTTAAAGGGATAGTTCACCCAGAAATGAGCATTTGCTGAAAGTTTACTCACTCTCAGACCATTCAAGATTAGGATGAGTTTGTTTCTTCATCAGATTTGTAGAAATGTAGCATTGCATCAGTGTCTCAGCAAAGGATGCTCTGCAGTGAATGGGTGCCGTCAGAATGAGAGTCCAAACAGCTGATAAAAACATCACAATAATCCACAGCACTCCAGTCCATCAGTTAACATCTGGAGAAGACAAAAGCTGAAACGAATGCAGCATTAAGACGTTTTTAACTAAAATACATTGAGTCCATAATCCATAATAACTCTTCCTCCAGTGAAAAAGTGTTCTGGTCTGAATCAGGAGAGAAATCTGCACAGATCAAGCAGCGTTTAAACAGCTGTAAACTAATCTGTGACTGGATTCTGATGTGAGAGACAACAGCAGATGCACTTTTTCACTGAAGGAAGTGTTATTATGGATTATGAACTCGTATTTTAGTTAAAAACATCTTAATGCTGGATTTGTTTCTTACAAACACGCAGCTTTTTAAAACAGACAGCACAGAATTTCTGAAAAAATAAAACATTTCAAAAGGCCCTATTATTGTTCAAATTTGTATAAACTATTAAATTGTTAAAGTTTTATCAATTCAGTTGATTATATGTGCTTTTTGATTGATAGAATTGAATTAGACCATTAAAATGGAATCCAGAAAAATGGAAATGGAAAACATGGAATTTGGGGAAAATAAAATGTACAGTAATTATTGTTAAACCTTTAATACATTTTTTTTTTTTGCATATATGTCATGATTTTAATTTGTTAGACATGCTTTTTGATTACTAAAATTGAATCCAAAAAATGAAAACAGAAAAATCAGACTTTAGGAAAAAATAAAACCGATTTCATAGGACCCTAAAAATGTCATTTTTGTTAAGCCTTTAATAAAATGTTGTTTAATTGTACAAGTTCCATGATTTCAGTTAGTAAGAAATGCTTTTGGAGTACTAAAGTGAATCCGGGAATTTATTAATTTATTTTCCACCGAAGAGAGAAACTGATCTACATCTGGGATGGCCTGAGGGCGAGCAAACTTTCAGCAAACGAACGTATCTCTGCTGATCTTACAGCCGTCTTAATTGTAGCTAATTGTGTTTAGAAAACATCCAACAAACCAAATTAGCTGAACTTCTCCTCCTAAACGGTCTCAGATGTTCAGCAGCTCAGCATCACGTTCACAGCTTTTCTCCATCGTCTCTGTTTGCTAGCGACTGGATTGTTTATATTTCAGGAGTCGTCTGTCAGAACATGTTCCACGCTTCCATCTAGATGCTTTTGTGTGCTTTGGAGAAAATCGGAACCTTCGGCTCGGTTTGGATTCTGACTGATTCGGATGAAAACGCTGAAATCACACATTAGAGTCCAGGCATAGAAATGGACTTTACTGTAACATTACATTTGGGTGAATAAATCAAAAGTAGGCCAGGAACTTAATCAAACTGTGATTGGACTATTGTCTGTAAATATAAAAGCAAGCGAGTCACTTCACCAGCATTTGATAAAACTGTCATCAGATACAGAAATTCAGAGGTCTTCACTATAATCCCCCAAATTAAGTTTATTTAACTTAAATAAATTCTGACGCAAAATGCAGGAATATCGTACAGTAGAATGTACGATAAAAAATAATATAATATAAAATAATAATAATAATAATAATAATAATACAAAAATTTAACTTTATTTATTTTAATTCACTTAATAGTTTATTTTTATTGTATTTATTAATTTAATTAATTTACATGTGTATGTGTATGTATGTAAAACAAATATATATTTTTTTTTTTTTTTTTTTTTTTTTTTAAATATATATATAAAAATTATATATATATACACATATTTTTACTTTAGTTCTTTAACAATAATAATTATAATAAAATTATTATTTTTTTTATTTTTAAGTAATATCACAGTTTTTCCTCCGTTTTCTTTTTAACAGTCAACATCTGTTGTGCAGCACTTTGTTTGCCAAAAAGTGCAATAATTGTTACATTTTATTTGATTATACTTCAAAATATCGTTTTTTTAAGCCTTCATTTGATTACCACTGTTTTTGATATTAAATCTGTATTAAATCCAGAAAAGTCTAAACAGGCGATACACACCTGAGATGGCTGGAGGGTGAGTAAATCATGGTGTAATTTTCATTTTTGGGTGAACTGTCCCTTTAAAACCAGATTTGCTCAAGTGGTGCTTGTGAGATGTCGTATAGGTCAGACGAGATGGAGTCGTGCCTTTTTGCTTAAAGGCGAAGACCCCGCTTTCCATGAAGCATACTATATTTCAGTCGACTGTCCTGGTTTTAATGCAAGGAGAAGACTTTTGTATGAAGTACACGCACTCGGGGACTTTTACCAGAAAAGATTTTCACGTGTTTATTCAAAAAATCTTGTATAATTTTAACTGCTGTATTTTTGTGTTTGTTTGGTTTTTATTTTGTGCTTATGTCACTCTTGTATTATCCCAGCCTTAGATGCTGACATGGCAAAATAAATAAATATCACACTGCGTCTTTCCTTCCAAACATGTGTGTCACCGCGAGCGTATCGTCACACACTCGCGTCGAGGGAGGACACACACAGCATTATGTGGATGTACAGTGTTTGTTTGGGGTTTTTTCTCTGGAGAACGCTGATTTGATGTGTTGTGTTTCCAGGTTAAAGGTGTACGTCCGCACTCCTCGGGAGGACATCCGAGTCTTTCTGAAGTCAGAGCAAACACAACCCAACTCTCTCAGGTAAGATGCGGCCTTTTTTTGTCTGTATTTATTTATTTATTCATTACTTTATTTATTTTACTTTATCATGTATTATTGTTTATTAATGAATTGAAGTTTTACATACATACATATTTAATTATTTAATAATTATTTATTTGTTTGGTTACCAATTTATTCATTAAAATAATTGTATTTATTTATTTTATTTTAATTATGTATTTTAGTTAAATATCATTAGTTAATAATCATGTATTATTTATTACGTCGGTTCCTAAATTTATGTATTAATTCATTTGATTTATTTATTTATTCATTTATTTAATTTTGTTGTTGTTGTTGTTTTACTTTATCATGTATTGTTGTTTATTAATGCATTAATGTTGTTATTATATATTTATACTTACTTAATTATTATTTTTTAGTTTGGTTCCCAATTTATACATTCAATAATTGTATTTATTTATTTAAATTATGTATTTTAGTTAAATATAGTTAGTTAATAATCATGTATTATTTATTATCCTCCTGAGAACCAGAAATAAAAAGCTTTGTGAATTTAGTATTTTTTCATGTCATTACATTGTTTAGAGCATAAGAAAAAATGGTAAAATAACATTTTTGAAAAATGATATTTTATTCATAAGTTATGCTATGTCCTCTGTAGAGGACACCAGGACTCAGTTTTTCTAAAAATAAAATGACAAGAGTAGACATGAAAAGACAAAAACAATGGCAATTTTTTTTAAATCACCAATCAATTTTTAGGTTTCAGGATTTTTTTATAACTAACTTTGTTTAAGGATGGTTCTCAACTGTTATAAAATATATAACAAAATGATTTGATATACCATTTTGCTTTATGCAATATGTGTGTAAAAATTCCATAAACTGGTTTTCCCATTAAGCACAATGTTATCTATACACTGTGTAATTTGCATATTAAAGTGCTGTTGGGACAGCATGTTGAAAAAAGAAGTGTAATAATGGGAGTAGTAATTGGCCAGATTTTCATAATAATATCTAATATTTCATAAGAATATTGATATGTAATTTGTTTTCCTATTCAATTCTTTTGTCTCCCAAAATGTATAATAAACATGCTTTTAGTCCTGGTGTCCTCTACAGTGGACATGTATGAAATCATGTCCTGTTTCATAACAGAAAGTCATATTTTGATTTGAAACCCCATAACATTTTCCTGAGATGTTGATTTATGACAAACAATTTGAGAATTCATCAGATTTAAATTATAATTACAAAATATTATCGTATTTCCATAAGGATGTACAATTTTATCACTAAATTAATGTCAGCCATTTTTAAAAACCAAGGAGAGGGAGTGGTCATGGTGAAACATCCAATCATTTAGTATCTCTGGAAAGCCCTGTATCTGTGGAAAGCCCTGAATGTGCTCTGTACAGGACTCCAGACTTCAAACTGTGACATGTGAGGTCTCAGAGAAATCACTAAAATATAATGTCCTCTACAGAGGCAAAAACTCCATAGCTGGGTCTCAGGAGGTTATGTCGGTTCCTAAATTTATGTATTAATTAATTTTATTTATTTGTTTATTGTTTTATTTTATATATTTTATTTATTAATGTATTTTGTTTTACATCATTTATACATTTAGTTTATATATTTTTTTTATATCATTATTTTATTAATTAATCAATTTAGTAAATAATTATTTATTAATTTGGTTCCCAAATTGTCAAAATATCTAAATTTTTTTAAATACTTATTCTCGTCAAAATCATTAAAACTTCATTGATCAAAAGCTGTGATAAAATGATTTAAATGATATAATTGGCAACATTGACTGTTTTGGGCAACAACAAAAAAATCACTCTTTTAATGCATTCCGGCAATTATATCAAACCAAATACTGCCAAAAAACTGAAAAAAATATTATGATATAATCTTATCGCTTCATATAGAACAAGCTGACCAGCTCTCGAAGTAAAAACATGTTGTAGTGTTATCGTTGTGTTGACGTTCTCGTGTGTTTTCAGCTTCCTGTCCTCATCAATGCTGTGTGTGAGTGTGTGTGAGTGTGTGTGAGTGTGTGTGAGTGTGTGTGTGTGTGAGTGTGTG